TGAGAACTGAATCTGTAGAAAGGCTCTGGTGGCCACATAATTCAAGTAGAAGAGAATAAAGATATATTTGCTTTTCCTATCATTAAGCTTCTCTACACTAGCAAAAAACACCCTGAACCGACCCTAAATGGAAAACTGGCCGTCTCTATGAAGCACAGGTACTTCTGATGTGCATCCTGAGGGTTTGGGGCTTTTAAAATGTTTACACAGAGTCTGTCCCACTTTGAGCAAAATCAAGGGATACTTCAAAGTTTCCTGGAAACTTCACAGTATCTTATGGCTTTAGAGTAATCTGGACAGTTAATTTGAGTTCAATTTGTTCCAATCTGCTATCTACACTGGACTCTGGAGCATATTTACACTAACCTTAACTGCCTGGTGTATATGCACCCATAAACTCTGGGTGCTTCCAGACAGTGCCAAGATCCTGGTTTAAAATGGGAGATAAAAAACCCCAGGACCTGATTGCAAGTCCCACACAGACCCGTTAGTCCCGGGATTGTGTCCCCCGTCATCCTCACAGACTTCCTCTATATCATAACAAGATGGAGGGTGGACTGGGGACATCTGAAGGAAGGTGTTTTTTTTTTTAAAAAAAAAAACAAACTCCATTATGCACTGGACCTCATATGCACGCATGCAAATATCTGAACATCTCTTCCCCCAATTCTTAATGCAAACTCTGTTTAATATTGTAAACTGTGACAGAGAGTTCCAATTGCTCTCCATTTGTGCTTCCTTTAAACCAGCGGTGTGTCTGTTTGACAGCCAAATCAGCTGATCAGCTGTTTTGAGCTTTTTAAAAGTGTACCTGGAGCAGTCTTCATGGGGTGGGGGGAGGAAATCATGTGTTTTGCATGACATACAGTCATGTGAATATGCACATTTTCTGGGCAAAATCAGGATATAAGGGGACCTTTTCCTCTGTTAATGCGAAGGAGCGTGGATTTAGTGCTAGCGTAATTTAGCCACTCCCCTTTTTTACCCATTAATTTCTGCATTTTAGGTACTGTGTAGAACGGCCCTCAGTTACTGAAAACAAATTATGGGAGCAACCCTGAACTGTTTGCTAGCATGCTGTTGCAGTTCAGCCAGCTGCTGATGATGAGGGGTTTAGGGGTGCAGGGCCTGATGGTTCTGTGGGTGCCCAGACAGAGGAGATGTTGGAGCAGGATGGTTCTCCAGTTGGGAGAATGGTGGGGTTTTTAGAGCAAGATGTTGTTCCTCTGTGTGAAAATGAAGCTTCTTTGAAAGCTGACAGGCAGGGAAGAGAGGATAACATGAGCTCATCCGAAGAAGCGGGCTTAGACAGAGAAACAAGGCTACTCCTGTGTGGGAACAAATCCAGATGAAAGCAAAGCCATTGGAAAGAGAGGCAGAAACAAGCCTCTCAAGGTCAACAGAATGCCTTCTATTCTTGCAGCTCTTAATTTAGGGAGAAAGCTGTTAGGATTTTTAGACCAAGCAATGTTGTTAATGGAGTGAGAGACTCCTGCATTGTTCCTGGTTATGCTCTAGCTTAAGGTCCAAGATACCTAGTCAATAGGTTCTTGTAGGTTTTTTCGGGCTATAGGGCCATGTTCTAGAGGCATTTCTCCAGACTTCAGATTATAAATCAGATTATATTCAATAGATTATAGTTAATAGTCAACCTAGTCAAGTTTTGCTATCTGTATTGAGGATTTACTTATGGATTCAAGCTCTTGTTTTGTTCCTTGTTTTCTTGATAAATCTTCAAGTTTTAACCTTTGTTTTGGAGATTTATCTTTTGGCCTATTGGGACTTACTTTTTATATATATACATTAGGATTTTTACCCTACAATTTGCTTAAGGTGCCCTTGGCCCTTGCTTTTATGTGTTTTATCAATAAACTGTTTACTACCACATCTGGTTTCTTGGTGAGTACTTTGAGCAAGATGAACACCTGCTGAGGTGCAACACATGCAACAAACCTATGTCATATTTTGGGCTCCTATGTGGGAAGCTTCTTTATTTCTCATGGAATTTGAAGGTTGGTCTCTGTCAGATAAATCAAGTACATGAAACAATATGACTTTGTCGTTTGAATATATGTCGCTAAAAGGTATGGACAGTTAGGAATTTTCTCACATATCCGCACCCTTATCAGTTAGGTGTTTCAAAATACATACCCATGCCCTTATTAGTTAGGTGTTTTGAAAGTAACACATATTTTAATACTAAGGATAGGATAAATAAGAACTAGATGGTAGAGGTTGATTCAACAGAAAGACACCCATAGGATTTAAGGAGAAGCAGACTGCGGTAGGAGAGAAAAATAGTATTTGATTAGTGCTTTGTATTCATTTTGCATAATGTTTCAAATATTGGGTTAGACTATATCTTGCTATAAAAATGTAGATAGTCAATCTGGCATGTATCTCTAGGCAGCAAGGATTTATAATCTGAAACTGCTTCTTTATAATTCTATGTACAATGTGTTAGATCCTTCAAACTCTAGGCCCGGCAAAGATCACCCTGTCATTCTAGTAATTTGTGCAAGATTGCTCGTTTCTATATCAACATATAAGTAGTACCACTTCACTGTCAAAATAATTTAATCTAGTAACACATTACAATGTTTCAAAAATGAATTTACCAATGCAGAGCAGATAAGCAAGCATTTTAAAATGTGAAATTATAGCGCAGTCACATACTGAAGCATGTCAAACTTATTTAAGTGAGAACGGAATTGTAGATTCAATCTTGGTCAGTTGCCTGGTATTACACACACACACAAAGCAAAGGACTTTACAGTTTAAACAGTTCACTATCTGAAATACAAACTAAAAAAAAGAATGAAGGGCAAAGAAATGTAAATTGAAGTACAAATTCTTTCATACTGTTAAATAATTAAAGAAACCATTCTGGAGGGAAAGAACTTGTGAGGTTGCAAAAACTCTGGAGTAATATAATATGGTTTTGTGGCTTTATTGAGTGTATTTCTGTGATATATATGCCTTGTAAGCCACCCAAGTCCCTTTTGGGAGATGGTGACAGGATATAAATAAAGATGATGATAATGATGATGATGATGATGATTATTTGCAGGGAGTTTAAATTTGCAAATGGATAAAGATTGACTGATAGAACATGAGGGGCAGGTACAATTTAGAGCATTGTGGATTGAGGGTCAGGAGTCCACTGGAGGTTGAAGAGGACAATAGGAACTGAGAGTATGAATAACTGTGTTATGGGTTGAGGAAAAATATATTTAAATATGATAGGACCAAGGGTGCACACAAGGGGCAATATTTGGTAATATAGAGGCATTAAAATATATATTTGTTATTGAGTATTGTTTATTTATTTATTTTTATTTATTTATTAATCGAATTTATATACCGCCACTCCCCGAAGGCTCGGAGCAGTTTACAGCATACATATGCAATACATTACATTTAAAAACAAAGAAAAATTTCAATCAACCAGATTCAAATGCCAGCCTAAATAAATAAGTTTTACAAGCTCTACAAAAAGATAGTAAATCTCAGAGAGCTCGTGTTTCCGCTGGTAAGGCATTCCACAGGTAAGGAGCCACCACCATGAATGCTCTACACCTAGTAGACATCAGGTGGAAGGTCCTAAAATTGGGAACTTCAAGGAGATTCTGATCATCTAAACAGAGTGATCTCGGGGGTTGGTAGGAGGTGAGGCGGTCCCTCAGGTACTCCAGCCCCAGGCCATATAAGGCCTTAAAGGTAAGAATCAGCTCTTTGAAGGTGATCTGGTGGTCAATCGGCAACCAGTGCAGTTGCTGCAAGATTGGAGTAATATGACACCTCGCTGGGACCCCTGTGAGAAGCCAATAAGTTAATTTATTAATGTGCTAGAGGGCTGTGAGGATTGAAAAATAATTTAAATAAGGCATTGATTTTTTTGCCAATTATTATGCTGTACACCGCTTTCAGTCCCCCTAGGGTGAGAAAAGAGATATAGAAATGCAGTAAATAAAATAATGAATTATAAAATCTGGTAGATGGTATACAATATAATATTTTTGCTTCCTTCTGATTGACCATTAACTTCCTGTTTGGTTACCACCGTAGGAAATATTTAATTGCCCAACTCCTCACTGACAAACCCTCACTTTCCACCTTGGCTGGTTAGCTACATAGCACATGGCATTAAGAAATTTTTAAGTTTTCTTACCTAAAAATCATAGACTGTTTTAAATCCAAAATACTGCAAATGGATTTTAAAATAATGTCTGTTGTGTGCTTTCAAGTAATGGCTGACTTACGGCTACCTAAAGCAAACTTATCACTGGGTTTTCTTGGCAGAATTTGCTCAGAGGGATTTGCCCTTATCTTCTTCTGAGATTTTGGACTTCATCAGACGGGCAGGGGAAAAATCGGGGAAAGCGGAGAAAACCTCATTTTGTTCCCTACTCTCTTTCCCCATCATCTTGGATGGACAGCCATCCCACATTGTTTCCTGTCATTTCTTGTGATTTCTCTGCCTCCTCTCTGTTTTCTACAGTTAGGAGTCGAGTAGCACCCAATGACTGAAAACAGAGTCTTCTCTCCATTTTAACACACTGGCAACATGATTTCCCATGGGCAGCCACTGGACGTAACCATGTGTTATGGAATGGCCTCTGTGGGACTCCATTTTGACAGTGCCTGAAATAGAGAGAAGATGCAGAGAGGACTGGGTCTGATGAGATCCCGAGAGTGTGTGATTTGCATGTCACCTTAAGGGCTTTAATGGCTGAGAACAGGAATTCAAATTCTGATCTTCTAGTATTCTAATTTAATACTCATCTAACTGCTTGACTAAGCTGTCTTTCAAAATGTTTGGTATGTGACAGCATTGCAGTTCTAGGTGGGAGTGTTACATATAAATTCAACTGAACATGTGCTTCGTTTTAACACATTTAAATATTTTTATGTCTGTAATATGTTAAGAAAAGCAATATGCATTCTGTTAAGGTACAACATAGCTGGTTTTTGGAAATGCAATTTTTTTGTATACTCAGAGGCCATCTTCAACTAATGTGTCACCAACTGAAGAAGAAGAAGAAGATGGAGGTGAAAATAGTTGTGGACCTACAGGTTTGTGGGAAGCACTGACACCCTGTAATGGATGCAGGAATCTTGGATTTTCCAGTCTTACTCAGGTAATGTATGCCATATTTTCAGTTGACAGTAATATAATATGTAACATTGCATCTCTTACTTTAGTTTTCAATATGTTTTTATTCCTATTTTTTTCATTCCTGTTCCAAAAACAAGTGATTATATTATATCTCATTCAGCCTTGCAATGCACTTCTATATGTACAGTGAGAACTTAGTTCTATTATGCACAGTAGGACTTGACTCCTACAAAACTGAAAACTTAATAAAAGGTTATAGAAAATTATTCCAATAGCATAACAGTATTGAATGAAATAATTATAGAAATTGTTGAAAACTTCTGCAAATTATCTTATTTGTATTGTTGAAGGCTTTCATGGCTAGAATCACTGGGTTGTTGTGAGTTTTTCAGGCTGTATGGGCATGATCTAGAAGCATTCTCTCCTGACGTTTCACCTGCATCTATGGCAGGCATTCTCATTCTTTGTCTCTGAAAGTTTAAAGGATGCAATTCTGCATGCATTAACAAGCAAATTCAGTAACATTGTAAGGTTAGCTACTTTCCATCTCTTGAGTTTTTATGTATGAGATAGTGGTCATGACCTTATTCTTGAAAATAGTCAGCAGAGTGCTTATGATTCATGGCTGCTATTGCAGTTTAGTTTTAGTTTATAAAAATTGTTTGACACAACTTGAGCTCTTTTACAGCCCTTTGTAAAGAGACTGGGTTCTCTTAATTCATCTCAACTCTATTACATTGCTTTTCACATGTATTGATTGGCTAGAACCCTTGTTTTTTGGAGGATTATGTTATACAGTGGTAATAATACAGTGGTAAGGAACATCAGAAAGCCACTTGCCTATTCATCTAGATTTTATCAGCATTAATGATTCCAGAAATATCACAAGTTGCATTCGCGTCCAGGCACAAATCAGAGTACCATTTATGAACTATAATGTGTAGTGTGTATGCAAGAGATCTTTATTTATTTATTTATTTATTTCGGGCACTTCTACCCCGCCCTTCTCAGCCCCCTAGGGGGGGACTCAGGGCGACTTACAACCGGCACAATTTGATGCCAACAATCCAACAGATATAAAATACATACCAACAATAACCATAATAGTTAAAACATTCAATTAATACAATAACAACTAAAAAGCCAATCTAGTGGCCAACGTTCACTGAGTTCTAAAATCCGTAAGTCCATTCAGCATTACCATAGTCCTTTCCAAATTCTGGTCGTCATTACCTTGTCAGTCTGCCAGATTACCCAAAGGCCTGGTCCCATATCCATGTTTTCAGCTTCCTTCTGAAGGAGAGGAGGGATGTTGATGACCTAATTTCCCCGGGGAGTGAGTTCCATGTTTGATGAATGCTCTCATGTTTTGGATCTTCCTACTGAAGTAAGTTAGGCTGGATCCCCTGATGCTGCTTTTCTACTGAGAGGCAAGACTTTTTATTTAGGTGGGCCTTGACCAGACCCTGGTTTATACAGGAGCATATTTTAATACAATGGGTGCTGTATTTTTCTTTTACTGCTGTTTTTAAAATTGAATTTTTTAAAAATATGGCTGTATTCATTCCATGTAGTAATCTATTTTATTATAAACTTCCTCCAATCTCATTTGTGGGAGAAAAGTGGGCTGTAAATCAAATAAATAAATAAAAATAACATATCTCTTTCTTTTCTATGGCCCAGTATTCTTATGTTTTCTGATGTTCAGCTATAGCTTTTTACTGTATACTTGTTCAGTTATTAGCCATATTTCTTAGTTTTCATTTTCATCCTTATATGACACTGTATTTTTCAGTGTTTCATCCAAAGTTGTAGAGTTTTTTGGTTCTTATATATAAGGCCATATATTTTATTACTTATATTCTCTCTTTTTTACTTTGCTACAGAATATATTTTAATCGAAAGAGATGAATTAGTTTCATTTGCTATCCACTCCATTATACTTTCCTATGTGCTTTTAAAATAATATTCCCCTGGTAGGGATATTCAGACTAGTGATGCTCCTGATACTGGAATGATAAACTGAATCCAACCTCATGTATTTCATCTTGTACTTTCTGTGTATTCTTATATTTTGTGTATTCTGTGTATTCTTATATAAAGAGCTGCTCTGCAACTCTTTAACAAATCAAATTCTAGTATAACTTAAACTTTCTACTCCTCATCTTCCTGCTGTTTGTAATGCCAAAAACTGTTCTCAAAAGATTACCACAGCAGGGAATTTGGAGTACATAGGGGTACTTCAGGAGGGAAGAAAGATTACTGATTTTACCAGAAGCATGGTAATCCAGAATTACACCATTGCAAAATCTTATTTACCGAAATGCTATTGAAACACTCTGGCAGAGTTCTTTGATCTCAGGTAATCTCTCTATGAGATTTGGTGTTTTTTAATCACAGTTTCTCCTTCTCTCTTCCTAAAATTGCTGTGCTTGACTCTAGAAATGCTGCTCAGAAATCTGAAAAAATATATGTTGAAATGTAAACCCCCCACCCAAAAAAACCCCACCTTATTTAACATTAGCACAATTTGACCTTAATTTAAGGTGCGGGGGGATTAGCTTCTACTAAAATTTTCTATTTCTTTGACATTTGAACATCTTTTTTTTTTGCCTTATTTTTATACATTTAGCGAACATAAGCATTTGACATTTCTGCTATATTAGACTATGTGCAATGCTCACAGATGATCAAAAGTTTTCTTAACAAGCATTTGCCATGGATTATTTACAAATCAATAGTAATTTAAAAAGCCTTTATGAGTGCCTTCATGTTTGGTAGGGAACATGAAAAAAGCTAGAAAAATAGAAAGCCATTAGTAGTCAAAATGCATGTTGACATATTTTAGCATAGAAAGGGAGTGATTCTGATTGCGTCATGAAATGCAAAGTAGAGTGTCTAGACCACAATGTTTGTGGGGTGGAAGGAGGGATATGAAATAAATCTAGACTATTCCATGGCTCACAGTTAAGTGATATAGATGGCAGAAAAGGCTCTCTTTCTTGTGATCAGAAAAAAAAACTTGAATTCAAGATTAGATTATTTTTCCCTTTTGATTATTTTTCCCCTATTGAAAATTGAATACGGAAATAAAATATTGGCTGATGAACTGCTATTTGAATCAGTAGAGGCATGTATATGCAATTGTAGCCTGAAACTTATCATATAATCATGGAATAATAGAAGAGACCACATGAGCCACCTAGTCCAACCCCTGCTATGCAGGAAAAGCACAATCAAAGCACCCCAACAGATGGCCATCCAGCCTCTGTTTAAAAGCTTCCAAGGAAGGAGCTTACACCACCCTCTGAGGCAGAGTTCCACTGTTGAATAGCTGTTACAGTCAGGAAGGTATTCCTAATGTTCAGGTGGAATCTCCTTTCTTGTATTTGAACCATTGCTCTTAGTCCTAGTCTCCAGAGCAGCAGAAAACAAGCCTGTTCCCTCTTTCTTATTTCAAATATTTAAACAGAGCGGTCATGCCTCCTCTCAACCTTCTCTTCTACAGGCTAAACATACGCAGCTCTTTAAGATGCTCCTCATAGGGCATGATCACCAGATCTTTGATCATTTTAGTCACCCTCCTCTGAACATGGTCCAGCTTGTCAATATCGCTCTTAAATTGTGGTGCCCAGAAATGGACACAGTATTCCAGGAGAGGTCTGACCAAAGCAGAGTAGAGAGGCACCATGACTTTCTCTGATCTAGATACTATACTCCTTTTGAGCCAGCCCAAAGTCCCATTGGCTTTTTAAACTGCTGCTTCACTCTTTTGGCTCATGTTCAACTTGTTGTCCACTAAGACTGCAAGATCTTATTTACATGAACTGTTGTCGAGCCAGGCATCACCTATCCTGCATCTGTGTATTTCATTTTTTTTCTCCCTAAGTGAAGTATCCTACATTTCTCTTTGTTGAAACTATTTTGTTAGTTTCGGCCCATCTCTCTAGTCTGTTAAAGTCATTTTGAATTGTGATCCTGTCTATCCCACCTAATTTGGTATCATCTGCAGACTTCATAAACATGCCCACTAAACCTTCACCCAAGTCATTAATAGATGTTGAACAGTATTGGGTCCAGGACATAACCCTGTGGGACTCTCTACTAGTCACTTAATTCCCGAATGAAGAGGAACCATTGGTGAGGACACTTTGGGTTCGGTCACTTAACCACTGACAAATCTACCTAATAGTAGTATTGTCTAGCTTACATTTTTCTAGTTTGTTTGCAAGAAGGTCATGGGGGACCTTGTTGAAGGCCTTACTGAAATCAAGAAATGCTGCATCCACAGCATTCCCTGCATCTATCAAGCTTCTAAATCTATTGAAAAAAGAGTTTAGATTAGTATGACATGACTTGTTTTTGGGAAATCCATGTTGACTTTTTGTGGCCATAGCATTCTTTTCTAAGCGATTGCATACTGACTCCTTAATGATCTGCTCTAGAATATTTCCTGGTATTGATGTCAGGCTAACTGAATGATACTTGTTTGGGTCCTCTTTTTTCCTTCTTGAAGATAGAGACCTTTCCCCCTCCTCCAGTCTGTTGGGACTTCTCCTGTTCTCCAAGAATTTTCAAAGATTATTGCCAGTGGTTCTGAAATTATTTCTGCCGGTTTCTTCAATATTCTGGGATGTAGTACATCTGGCCCTGGAGACTTGAATTAATTTAGAGTAGCCAGGTATTCCTGGACTACTATTTGCCTATTTTCGGTTGCATTTCCCCTATTACCTCATCTGCTCCATAATGCTCAGGTTGAACACTGATTTCCTTTTGGAAGAAGACTGATGCAAAGAGGGTATTGAGCAGTTCTGCTTTATCCCTATTCCCTGTTAGCATTTCACCACTTTTGATCTATCTGGCAACACTTTTGATCTATCTGGCAAGCTTGAGCTCATTTTACGCTTTAGCCTTTTGGACCTTTTCCCTACATGTGTTGGTTATTTGTTTGAATTCGTACATGTATTGGTTATTCGTTTGAATTTCAGAAAAAAAAATCCCACTTGATAGCTACTATTTAGT